GTTGGCATGAAGATCTCCCTCCTACCTCAAAGGATTCCATCGTGAACTTGGTGATTCTCATCTTCAAGGAGAATAAAAGTAAACACTGCTTTAGAAAGGGTATTTTTTGTTTAAAAATTTTCCCATATTCTTATGTGATTTTGTAGGTATAAGGAGCTCAATATATTGAACTAATAATTTTTTATGCTAACATGAATTTTAGTATAAGACATTTTATTTTCTGAGCGTAACATCTAGCACTAAAAATAAAATAAAAACAATTTAGGAGTAGTTTGCATACAAGTAACATAATTACAGCAAAATAAAAAGATGTTCGAGTCCTGGTGATTAGTATCTCCAGCCATCTATAAGACAAATGTAGTATCAGGACAAAAACATTCATGTATTCATCTGCTCTAGAATAGAGAAGTGCTTAGTATATGCTGGGCACTGTCCAAGGTGCTAAATATGCAAAGATTAAAACAAGAAACGAGGCTCCAGCATATTGAAAGGAATTAGGATAATTTCCATATAATCCTTTGAGTACTTTTTGAAAGTGGAAATGCAGTATCTGTGACATCTATAATGAATAGTTCAGACCTCAACTAGGGTACTAAATATAAAGGGAAAAAAAACAAAGTAAAATGCAATCACAATTTATTTGGAATTTATAGTAGACAATTTGTCATTATGTACCCAAACTTGAGTTGTAATTTCCTTAAGAAATATCAAGATCCACAGGTATCATTCAACCAAACTGGATAAATTGGATAAAAATATTTTTTTCACATTAATCTTTACAAATAAAATAATATCATTAAAAATTTTTTAATGTTTATTTTTGAGAGAGAGAGATGGAGCATGAGTGGGGAGGGGGCAGAGAAAGAGGGGGACACAGAATCCAAATCTGAGCTGTCAGCACAGAGCCTGACAAAGGACTTGAACTCATGGACCATGAGATCATGACCTGAGCCGAAGTCGCATGCTTAACTGACTGAGCCACCCAGGCGTCCTGGTGAAGGTAATTATTATCACAATGCATGGGACATGTACTAATCCTAACAAATTATAAGTGATAACTACTATGTGCCTGGCACTGTAAGCTCTCATTAAATGTTAACTATTATTGTTGTTCATATTTTCAGGATAGTATTACATTAGTTTACACAAATTCTCCCATTCTTGAATTTCTTAAGGACACTTGGTTAGTCTTGGGTTATTTTATAATTGTCCATCCAAGGTAATGTAATATTATATGTTAACTATAATTATACTAAAAATTAATTGTAAATGTAGTAAATGTTTTCAAATAATACTCTTGTTTCTCTCATTATCTCTAGCACATAGTTAGTACAGGGGCTGGATTTTTATTCGTAGGCTTCAAGTGACAGAAGAAAGGTGATATTTTCAGATCCATCCTC